GTTAACGTTATGTGACTACGTCTAGCAGCTAGGTTTTTTTTTATGGATAGGGTGACAAACGTGCACACAGTCCACTTGATGTTAAGTGGTTGCTGTGACCCATAGACATCTAGATCTATCCTCGATAAAGAATCAAAATGCAAATGCGTTGTCACCCGTGAGGACTAAGATAGAATGCCTCTATTCTAGTAAAAAGGTTCTGCGGTTCTCTACGCTCACCATACGAAACACGGCAGTGTTTGACATTAGTATTCTGTGAGAGCGTGGTCCTTTCCCGGTCGAGCCGAGCCATTCGTGCTACAACTATATAATTAATATAGCTGCAGTATGGCTCTATCACGTGTAAGATCTTAGATGTTTCCTACACGCCTTTTATTTTATTTTTATCTTATCCTCTCACTGAAGGATATGGTTTGATTCTATGATGAAAGTATTCACCATGTGGTTGAATAACCGAAGGGTGAATATTTTTTGTAAATGAAGGGTGTAAAGAACCAGTATAAATACAGGCTGTGAGACACTCCATCTTTAGTCCAGGGAGGTGACAAAGTATTGTAGCCTTCTTTGTTTGAAGTTGGCTGCAGTCGTCCATGGGCTGCAGTAGCTACAAACACATACACGGTTTTATAAAAAAAAGTACTCATCAATCACTCCATTAAAGACATAGGCATTGCCCAGTGGTTCTTAACCTCTGACGTCAACAGCTATTTCAGGGGTCGTGAAGAGGACCCAAATTAATTTGAAAGTAATTAAAAGATTTGATGACTGATAAGGAAGAAAGATTCTCGAGCGGCAGTCTTGTAATGATAAGCTAAGCGTAGAGAGGCCCCCAATAGTTAGAGTTACGACCGTGGTGTGAATGGTCATGTTTTGTGGCATTTCTTGGGGAAAGAATTTGTTGTATGACTCAACAGTAGTACACAATTGAACCAAAAGATACAATTTTATAAGATTTAAGTACCTACAGCTGCATTCAGGGTAGCCAGCCAAAAAGGTTGAGAGCCGCTGGATTATTCTATTAAGATAAGCTTTACGTTCCTATTAGAAATGGTATTATTAAATAAAAACTACACTAGCCACTCTCTATATCGTGGAATCAAATCCGCAATTCGTAGCTCTGCATCTAAACCGCTTAGTCATTGCGAAGGTTAATATGTTTTTCTGTTAAAGAAAGACAGTATTTTTAGATGTTATTATTAACCCGACGCTTCTGCTCTGATGTTGGCCGATGTTTCTAACTGGGTAACAGGTAGCAATTATCTTACTCCTAATAGTTTCAATACTTGTACTTACGGTGGTAGAGCCCTGCAGCAGTTTTTTGCTGTTGCACGTATGGGCCGGCTCGAGCCGGGTTGGTACCACGACCTCACAGAATACCGGCGTGAAGTAGAGGCTCTGCTTCTGCGTTTCGTCTGGTGAGTGCAGGTGGCCGGAGGCCCAATTCCCCCCCCCCCCCATCAACATGGTAGCGGAATTAGACAATAGACTACCCCAGGAGGGTACCAGTACCCCTGGAGAATCCCTCGCTGAGCATCCACGACCATGTTATTCCAATCCTGAGCGTGGGTGCTCAGGCTGCCCCGCGTATTCTGGGGGGGGCAAAATTCCGCTCAAAAACAAAACTGCTCGGGGCAAGCTGAGCAACAATACCAAGGCGACCCCTGCCACGCTATCCGTGAATTTCTGCAACATCAGGGGACTTCACTCTAACCTAAACGCCGTCCACTACCATCTCGAGACGGCGAAGCCGGCCTTGCTCTTTTTGACCGAGACGCAGGTTTCCTCTCCGACTGATATTTCGTATCTCTCCTACCCGGGGTACAAATTGGAGCACTCCTTTGTGCCTCGGGCTGGAGTTTGCGTGTATGTTAGAGAGGACATCTGTTCTCGACGCCTCGGCAGTCTTGAAGGTTCGGACCTGTCCATCCTTTGGCTACGCGTAGACAGCGACGACCATCCGCGCGTCTACGGGTGCCTCTATAGGTCCCATAGCGGTTATGCCGAAACAGACCGACTCATCGACCACGTCCAAATGGCTACAGATTCCTTGCTACAACAGGTCCCATCCGCAGAGATCGTGATCCTTGGCGATTTTAACGCCCACCATGCCGAATGGCTCGGTTCACGTTTAACCGATCATGCGGGGAGATCTGTTTATGACTTTGCCATGGCATATGGTCTGTCACAACTGGTTACTTCGCCTACGCGGATTCCAGATGTGGAGGATCATACACCTTCCCTGTTGGACCTTCTGCTGACCTCTCATCCGGACGGATATCAGGTTTCCGTCGATGCCCCTCTCGGCTCTTCGGACCATTGTCTGATCCGGAGTATGGTGCCACTCACGCTCCCTTCGCGGTTGCGTTCTGCAGGTTGCCGCCGTGTTTGGCATTACAGGTCGGCGGATTGGGACGGAATGCGGTCTTTCTTTGCATCCTACCCATGGGGGCGGGTTTGCTTCTCGCCGGATGATCCCAGTGCTGTTGCTGACTCTGTCACTGATGTGGTGCTACAGGGAATGGAACTATTTATTCCATCATCTGTGGTACCCATCGGAGGCAGATCTCAGCCTTGGTTTGGTCGCTCCTGTAAGACTGCATTGCGCAGTAAGCAGGAGTGTTATCAAGCCTGGGCTGCGGCTTCGGTGACTCGGGATGTAAACACCAGCACACTTAAAAAGAAGTATAACTTCGCCTCCAGGTCCTTCAAAAGAGTTATTGCCAAGGCAAAGTCAGAGCACATAGGCAGAATTGGCGAGAAACTAGTTCGCCTTCCTTCGGGAACCCGTGCATTCTGGTCTCTCGCCAAGGCTGTCCAAGGGAATTTCTGTAAGCCATCACTACCATCTCTGCACAGGGAGGACGACTCACTGGCCCAAGACGCAAAAGACAAAGCCGACCTTTTAGGCTCCCTTTTTGCGTCCAACTCGACTCTTGATGACGGGGGGAAAATACCGCCGACCATCCCGCGGTGTGAGTGCTCCATGCCGGATGTGCTATTCTCACAGCGCTCAGTTCGTAAAGCACTTCTCTCCCTGGACATCCAGAAGTCGAGTGGGCCTGACGGAATCCCCCCAATTGTGCTGAGGACGTGTGCTCCGGAGTTGGCACCGGTCCTAACGCGTCTTTTCCGGTACTCCTACTCCCAAGGCGTAGTCCCGAATTCATGGAAGACAGCTTTTGTCCACCCGATCCCTAAAAAAGGCGACCGCTCAGACCCGTCCAACTATAGGCCTATCGCGATCACCTCCTTGTTCTCCAAAATAATGGAATCCATTATTAACTGCCAGCTCATCCGGTACCTTGAGGATCACCAGCTGATTAGTGACCGCCAATACGGTTTTCGTCGGGGTCGATCAGCTGGTGATCTTCTGGTCTACCTGACCCATAGATGGGCGAAGGCAGTAGAGTCCAAGGGGGAGGCGTTGGCCGTTAGTCTGGACATTGCGAAGGCCTTTGATCGGGTTTGGCACAAAGCGCTTCTTTCGAAGCTGCCTTCCTATGGGCTTCCCGAGAAATTGTGCAATTGGATCACCAGCTTTCTTGCAGATCGGAGCATCAAGGTCGTTGTAGACGGTGCATGTTCTGACTACAAGCCTATTAACGCTGGTGTTCCACAAGGCTGTGTGCTATCACCAACGCTGTTTCTTCTGCATATCAATGATATGTTGCTAACTGGTAACATTCATTGCTATGCGGATGACAGCACTGGTGATGCTCTATACACCGGCCGGGCCAATATTTCTCGGGAAAACGTCGCCGAGTACCGGAACAAACTTGTGTCTGAAGTCGAGTCTTTGCTGGACAAAGTCTCGGATTGGGGGCGACTAAATCTAGTCCAGTTTAATCCTCAGAAGACACAAGTTTGCGCGTTTACCGCTAAAAAGAACCCCTTTGTCGTATCTCCTCAGTTTCAAGGCACTCCCCTTCTTGCCTCAGCCAGTATCGGTATCCTCGGAGTCGACATATCGAGTGACGTGCAGTTTCGTGGTCACTTGGAAGAGAAGGCCAAATTGGCCTCTAAAAAGCTTGGCGTGCTCAGCAGAGCGGGACAGTATTTCATGCCGGCACACCGCCTGCAACTTTACAAGGCGCAGGTTCGGCCTCACATGGAATACTGTTCCCATCTCTGGGCAGGGGCTCCCCAGTGCCAGCTCCTTCCACTTGACCGCATCCAGCGCAGAGCGGCTCGAATCGTCGACGACCGAGCCCTTTCCGATCGGCTCGATTCATTGGCACTGCTAAGAGATGTTGCATCTCTTTGCATTTTCTTTCGCATCTACCATGGGGAGTGCTCTGAGGAATTGTTCGGATTAATCCCAGCCGCCAAATTTCACGAACGCACATCGCGGCAGAACTCCCGATACCATCCACACCATCTGGATGATTGGCGGTCCACCACTGTGCGATTTAGAAGATGTTTTCTTCCTCGCACAACTTCCTTGTGGAATAGTTTACCACCAGGGATTTTTCCGGACCGATACGACTTAGGGACCTTCAAGAAAAGAGCCTACTCCTTTTTAAAAGGCCGGCAACGCATCTGCAATTCCCCTGGTGTTGCGGTTGTTCATGGGCGGCGGTAGTCACTTACCATCAGGTGAGCCGCATGCTCGTTTGCCCCCTCTCCTATAAAAAAAAAAAAAAAAAAAAAAAAAAAACTTTTAATGGCATGTTTGATAGTTACGAGTACTTCCTTTGATCAATAGATGGCGTTAGGAGTAGAATTGGATAGTGAAGTTATTTACAATACAAAATAATTTCATTATTTTGTATTGTAAATATATATATACTGAAAAAGATGCATTCCATCTTAGTCCTCACGGGTGACAACGCATCTGCATTTTGATTCGCAAACGAGGATAAACGTAGATGTCTATAGGCCACAGCAACCATTTAGCATCAGGTGGACTGTGTGCTCGTTTGTCACCCTATCCTATAAAAAAATCTTCCTGCATGTCTAAATGAATGAATGCATGAATATGATATGAAATTTTCACGTACCTGTCGAACTCTCTTCTTCGAAGCAGAGACCCTGAACAAGCCAAGTGTGTGCAGCCCGTGGCGCCGCAAATGTGAGAGGCAAGCGGAAACCAATCCTGGAACCTTGGGCCCGCCGCCTCCTGATTCGTCAAGGCCAGACCAGCCCCACTCTCCCGAATCACAGGACTCGCTCTGGAATAATAGTATTTCAAATTTATACCAACATAATGTGGAGAAATCGAAGGGTTGGGATATCATAGAAACGTTTATCACTACGTTTATCAACCTTTTAAGTCTACGACTGTATCTTTATTCTGCTAGTAGACAGAACTGCATTGTGGCGTAGTGGCTTAGCAATGATTTGCAGCATTTGTAAGGCCTACAAATAATTTTCCGGGTCTGGATGTTTGTGTAGATGTATGTAAACTGCCCCCATGATACAGGAGAACTTCTTTAGTGTGAAGGTAACATTTAAAAAAAGAAAAAAATGTGTTTCTCGTTCGCTCTACCTCGGACTAACAGACCCATTCGTATTGCAACAATAAAACAATTGCAGTGTGACTCCATAGGCACTAATCACATGTTGAATTTTATGAATAAATACGAAACAAATTTCTCTATATTTAAGTGCACTCATTAAAGTGATTTGTGTGTACAGAAACAGTGAAGTTTTATAACCGGTCATAAATCTTTCTTAATGAAACTAAAAAGCGAAAATTTTCCAATTCTGGATCAGATTTAAGAAATTAAAATATTAACATCTCAATTTAAAGTTGCTATAGTGGGTGCAATGTTTAGAATTCCAAATTTTAATACATCTAAAAGTATTGAGGTTTTAAGGATCCGATACCATTATTGTTGAAATTAAAACTTTGAATTAGACATGTGTCGTTCATTCATTTCAAGTGACCTAATCATTCAAGTATTGATTTGTCTTACGAACCGAGTCATTCAGGTCGATCGTCCAAATGGATCATTTAGAGTTTCAGTACCCCGTGATCGGTGAGACCCGCTCGATAATGGCCGTCGTCGGACATAACTATACTCTTTGGACGTAGTTCCTGTCAATCGTTTGATCCAGAACATTAAAAAAATGTAATTGCAATCATCAATACTTTCATGCGTCCCGGGTGAAATGAACGAATCATTCACTATTGACATATGTCTACTGTGAGAATATCGTATATGGAAAAAAATGATAATATCGTCTTCGAATAAATTTTATACGATGCCAAATTGTAAAATGAATACCTAAAGAAAAGGAACTAAAAATTAGCCTTCAAAGGGAAGGTTATATAAAAAGAAATTAAAATTATGTAAACGTGATAAATAATGCTTGACCGTGACCGGTGTCAGAATATCCACTAACAAATATCGCTCAGTGCATTAAGAGGCGACAGATGGAAACTAACCAAGAGATAGGCAGCAGCCTGCCAAGTGTAGCAACTGTGGCAAATATCCCCCTTATGAAGCCATATAGGCCTATGTTCAGCAGTGGACTTTAATAGGCTGTAATGGATGAATGATGAAGATAATCTACCAGGATCACATGACCCACTGAGAGGTGAAATTTTCAAATCTACTGTAACATTACAACTATGGCAAATATCCCCTCTATGAGGCAATCCAAGGGGAGGCCTCTGTTTAGCAGTGGACTTTAATAGGCTGTAATGGATGAATGTGTAGAAGATAATCTACCAGGAGCACATGACCCACTGAGAGGCGAAATTTTCAAATCAACAGTAACATTAAAACTATGGCAAATATCCCCCTTATGAGGCAATCTACGGGGGGTAGCAGAGGACTTTGATAGGCTGCAATCAATAAAGAAAACGCTATAAAATCCTAACAATATGGTTTTATTCAAAAAAATTCCAAAAATAATATAGTATAATGAGTTATAAAACAGTATTAAGTTATTAATACTTCAAAATTGAGTCTAAAAAAATTGAGTGGGCATTACTCATATGAAATATCCGAACCAACGATTCGTTTGTTTTTAATGCTATCTTTTTCTTTGATCGTTATGTCCAGATAATAATATTATAAAGTATATGGAATTTGCTATTCTGTTTTATATTGTGCTTATGCTTTGGAATTCAAAATCTTGCCTATGGAAAAGGAGGTTTACGAGCACAGGATACTTACTATATACATAGAAGGTATATATACACATATATAGGGTTCTAATTATACATACATTCATGTATTACTTGCGTAGACACTTCGGCGGCCTTTCATCTCAGGGGTACCTCAATTAGAGCCGGGGTGGCATTCTGATGCTGCAGTTCAGCTGCCTCTGGGCAGCTGAACTGAGGAAGTGGCGCAAATATGAGTATCTGAGATATGCCTACATATTTTTGCCATTTTCTGTTTTTTTTTATAGGATAGTGTAACAAATAAGCACACAGCCCATCTGATGGTAAGTGGTTGCTGTGACCCATAGACATCTACATCTATCCTCAATAAAGAATCAAATTGCAGATGCGTTGCTGTCCGTGAGGACTAAGATGGAATGCCTCTTTTCCAGTAAAATGGGTCTCCGGTACTCAATACACACCATACAAAACACAGCACTGTCAAGTTGCCATTTTAGGCTGGTATTCTGTGAGAGTGTGGTCCTTCCCCGGTCGAACCGACTCATTCGTGCTACAACTATACTACTAATATAGCTGCAGCGTGGCTTTACCACGTAAATTCATAGTGAAACTCACTGTGATGTTTGGAGACTTTCAAACTAACAATTTGAAGAGGCGAGAAGGTGCTTTTCAAGCTGGTAAAGCGTACTAATTTTTTTTTAATATTATATTAAATTCCGCAAATTAGCACTTGATTAATTTTACTTTTTTTAATTTTTAATAATTATTTTGTAGTAAAGAATTTGTCAGTAAATATATCGAATATACAACGACTATCAGCTACTATGGAATCTGATTCACAAGACTGTAATTCAACAGAGTTGTATCTATATGGACGTTAAGAGAAAACATGGTGGTAATTATACAAAAGAGTGACTTTCAATAACTATTATTTATAATCTTTATTGAATAAAAAAGTTTCTGTTTCTGTTTCATCATAATCTTTTACAATCCTTGCATAAAACCCTTGCATGCTACTCTTTTTACTGGAAAAGTGGCATTCCATCTTAGTTCTCACGGCTGACAACACATCTGCATTTTACACAAAAAAAATACATAAGAATTGAGTACCTACTCCTTTTTGAAGTCGGTAGAAAACTTAATTTTTAATAAAATCATTTCGAGATAATTGATTCTCAACTTGGTGCTTAGCTATTAGCATATTAAAGAAATAAATAGGTCCCGGCGAATAAGCAACTTTATTGTATAAAAGTAATAATTATAACTTTAACAAAAAGTAAAAAACGACTTCAAATTGCTAACAAAGAAGTTATTTATTTGCTACCCTTAGAGGTGAAATTTTTTCTCCAAATTTATGTAGGACCACCCTTGAAGTATGACCTATTTAATAAATAAAGTATCATCAATATTGGTTCACAATCTGCGAAGATATCGCCTAACAAACACACAAAAAAAACTAACACTCGAATTGAGAACCTCCTCCATTTTGAAGTCGGTTAAAAAGTAAAGTCACATCTTTTATTTTTCTCACTGCACAGACCTTCTCTCATTTCTGAAGGTTTTTAAGAACATTAGTTTACCGCTCAACCTTACATGCCCTCGAAAGTATTATTATTCCCCAGACATGCAGGCTTACTCACGATCTTTTCCTTCACCGTCAAGTGGTGCTGAGAGTTGTTAGTCAGAAATTTAAATTCCAATTAACAATATTACCGGCGCCAGCGGGTATCGAACCTGGGTTGCTCGTGTGCGGTGTAATTTACAGCGACCGCTTAGCCTCCAACCTACTACGGCTACTTTGCTGCGTACTATTTAATACTAGCTGAACCCCGCGACTTCGCCCTCATGGAATTTATTAAGAAAGATGAATTTCATGGGTTTTCATTTTTTTGCGCGGAACCCTAATTATTTTTTTAAAATAAAAGTAGCGTAAGTTACTCAAAATCGTTCCAGCCATTTCGAAGGTTAGCCGGAACCAACAGACAAAAAAAATTAAAAATTGATTTTTTGTTATTAGTACCGTAAATACTTTCACTTGCATCTAGTAAAAAACGGTTATTTTGACATTACAAACAGAATTTTATTGCATGCCGTAAGCGCAATGCGCGCAGGTACATATGTTCTGCTAGGGCCTAAAAATTAAGGTTCCAACGTTTTGTCGCATGAAATCGTATCTAGCATTCATATTATACATATAAATGATGTAAAAAGCACATTGTCAGAAAGATAAATGATTGTTGAACTTATTTATATTTTTTTTATTTGTATAGATTAAAAAGTTTTTTACCATTAAGCGTGAGTAACCAACACGGCTAAAGACGGGCAATTCTTAGCAAACTTACACTGTCACCCTTTCGTTACAGACTATTAAAGTCCACTCTTGGAGGATATTTGCCATAGTTGCCACACTTGGCAAGCGGGTTGGCAGCCGCAGTTTTTGTTTTAAGTCGTTATTAGGAAGACGCTGCTGCCCATCTCCTGATTTGTTTTCCTCTGTCACCTCTGATATCCACGGGATGATACGGGGTATTTTAGGATTCCGAGCTATTTTTGATTGGTCGAATATTGGGATGGGTGGTTCTAATAAAGTGTACGATATCTATAATGTTACGTACATTATAATATTAACATTATAATACTAACTGGTAATTTTCCATGTCCATTACAGCCTATAAAAAACGTAAGTTGGGGAGGCTCATAGATTATCTTAAAGGAGGTGTTAGCCAATACGGCTATAGCCGGCAATTCTTAGCAAGCGTACACTGTGCTATTTCAGGTCGGTCGAATTTTAGGATGGGTGCTCGCGGGACGCGTCATGCGATAAAATTATCGTGGCCTTAATGAAAGCAAGCCGATGGAAGGCCGTGGAGGTAACCAGACACCCGTGACGGTGTTGTGACGTTGCATCACGTCATGTTTGACCTATCGGGTGCTAGCCTGTTGTTTACGATGCAATAATATTTTGACACTGTTACAAAGCAAACAATTAGGTCTTTACGCATAAAATTGACGTTTTGTTTAACTGGCCACTTTGCACTGAAAAGCTTTGACTTAGAATTCGAATAATGACGCGAATACTACATATTAAATGAA